CGCGTGAGTGTTGGTGCGATGCGTCGGCCATTGCCCGTGAACGGGAACGGCAAGGATGCTGGAGGTTTTCCTCCATTTTCAAACGCTTTAACGCCATCCCACCTGCACGGTGAAACGTTAAGGATAAACGGGAAGATGGAAAAAGGGGGGTGGGGGGAAAAGCCTGATGCATTCCTCTACTCACAGAGCCCAATCAATAGCAAATAAGCCTGAGGTGTCCTCAGATCAAGTGGCTGGTTTCTATCTACAGTGGAAATACGAATATGGTCTAGCTGTAGCTGTAAATCTGCTTATTCTAAATGGATATTCTGCTTTCAGCGCCCCCCCCCCCCCCCCTGAAGGAGATCCCCATCTCTCAGAGACCTGCTCTGGGTCTTTAGATGCCCAGCGGCTGCCTGACCCTCTGAGGCTTTGAGACCCTCTCCGGATCTCCTCCTTTCACCGGCAGAAAGCACAGAGCAGCCCCCCCCCACCCCGCCGTCGCCATGGGAACCGTGCTCTCCCTGTCGCCCAGCTACCGGAAGGCGGCGCTGTTCGAGGACGGCCCCGCCACGGTGGGCCACTACACGGCGGTGCAGAACAGCAAGAACGCCAAGGACAAGAACCTGAAGCGCCACTCGCTGATCAGCGTCCTGCCCTGGAAGCGCATGGTGGCCGTGTCGGCCAAGAAGAAGAGCTCCAAGAAGGTCCAGCCCAACGTGGCGCGCCTCAACAACGAGAACCTGAAGAAGTCGCAGTCCTGCGCCAACCTCTCCGCCTTCGCCCAGGACCAGGGCACCCCGGCGCCGCCGGTCAAGGGCCCCGGCAACGGCCCCGGCAACAACAACAACTCCTCCTCCTCCGCCGCCGCCGCCTCCTCGGTCAAGAAGGCGGCGCCAACCGTTTCTAACACGGCGCCCGCCGGTACCCCCAAACGCGTGATCGTGCAGGCCTCCACCAGCGAGCTGCTGCGCTGCCTGGGCGAGTTCCTGTGCCGGCGCTGCTACCGCCTCAAGCAGCTGGCGCCCAGCGACCCGGTCCTGTGGCTGCGCGGCGTGGACCGCTCCCTGCTGCTGCAGGGCTGGCAGGACCAGGGCTTCATCACGCCCGCCAACGTGGTCTTCGTCTACATGCTGTGCCGCGACGTGGTGCCCGGCGAGGCGGCCTCCGAGCACGAGCTGCAGGCCGTGCTGCTCACCTGCCTCTACCTGTCCTACTCCTACATGGGCAACGAGATCTCCTACCCGCTCAAGCCCTTCCTGGTGGAGAGCTCCAAGGAGGCCTTCTGGGACCGCTGCCTGTCCGTCATCGAGCGGATGAGCGCCAAGATGCTGCAGATCAACTCCGACCCGCACTACTTCACCCAGGTGTTCGCCGACCTGAAGAACGAGAGCCAGAAGGAGGAGGAGAGGAGCCGCCTGCTCATCGGCCTGGACCGGTGAGGGGATGCCCCGGGGTGGGGAGGGTTTGGGGGGGGGAGGGGGTAGAGGGAGCACTCCAGTCTGGCATTTTGACTCTATCTGGGAGACTCTGTTTGTTCAATCGAGACGGTCAGGGAGGCGGTCGGCCCTTTTCTGGAGCTTATAGGAGATCCAGGGGCTATTTTTGGCCGGTGTTCTATTCTGTTTTCCAACTCCCCAAAGGATGGATTATCCATAAAACCCAAGAATGAAAGCTCTTTTTTTTTGTGTTGTTTTTTTTTTTTATCTATGACGAGCGAGCACAAAATGCCAGACTCGGGTAAATCCCTTTTGCCTACGTTCAGATATGACATATCTCTATGAAACACTGAGGCCACAGAAAACAGAAAAAAAGACACAAAAAAAACAAACAAAAAGACTAGAAAGGGAAGCTACAGCAATGAATGTGGACGAGGTGATGGGCCACGGCTGAAGGAGCACCCCCCCCCCCCAACTCCCCTGGGGGGGGGGGGCGGACATGTTCTTGCTGGGATGCATATCTGGCCGTCAGAGGGAGGAGCAGGAGATGGATGGACGCATATTTTTGTGGGTTTTTCTGGGTTTTCTGACTTGTCTGGATGGACAGTGAGCTCTGCTTTGTGGGACTTTTGATAAAAAAAACAACAACACACACACACACTTACACACACACACACACACTGGACATGCTTCGTCTGAAAGACTATTTTCATCTAGATAAAAAAAAAAAACTAAAATAAGTTATTGGATGTTTTGCTCCACTGAGGCGTACACCTGTGGAGGCTTATTTATTGCTTTTACAGAACAAGTTTTCTTTCGTTTTTTTCCTTTTTTTTCTTAGAAATGTAACGTTTTGCACGTGTGCCATGCAATTTTTTCAGTCTCCGGGGAGGGCGGGAGCAATTGTTAGGTTTCCTCTTTCTACTTGATTTGTAAACCGACTGCATCTGCATTAGAGAATGCTGTGAACAAAGTGACACTAGTTTATTTAGCTCTGCTTGCTAAAATAGGCTATTTGTTTACCAGGGGAATTATTTTTTTTGTACTTTCGTCGATAGGTTGTGTTGCAACCATTTTTCGGAATGACGTTTGATTTCGTGTGCTCCAGATTCAGCATAGAAATTGTTTTAAAAAAAAAAACACAAAAAAAAACAGTGCCATATCCACCACGGAGGTCCCACAGGTCGGAGAGGACTCAGAAACTCTGGATCGCTCGAACTACTGACACTTCATTTATTGCCAGTCATGTATTTATTATTTAGGCACTTTGAGTGTAACTAGAAGTTCCTGACGAGAGACTTTTGAAAGTGAAGGGCAAAGAGGAGGAGCGCAGGTGTCCTTAAGTCTGGTGGGAATGAAGATTGATCTGGTTTATGCAAAACGTCTGCTGCAGGGATTTATCAGCCGGAAACCAGCCCTGGAATCCCAACCGTCGTTTAATCTGACCATCACCGATGCGGCACCCTGCCAAAAAAAAAAACCTCCATCTCAGAAAACGGCCTCCAGAATGCTTTTTTTTTTCTTTTTCTTGGGTCCCGATTCGGAAGTGGGTCAGAGTCAGCCGGTGAGGAGGAACTGAGGCCACCTCCTCTGGTCCAATCGCCTTTTTCCAACCCGGGTTTATTCACACACTGAAGTCGGGGGGGAAAAGAAGAAGAAAAAGTGGTGCTCGGAGCATCTAAGCCTCTTTTCTAACGCGAATGGGAGAAAAACCAGGCGTCTGAGATATCCGAGGCCTCAGGACCTCCTCCTCTCCGTCCACTGGCCCCAAACTCACTGGAAACGTGCCATGTTTTCTTCACTTTGCATCATCGAGTAGCTGTTTATAACCTTACGAAGTAACGGAGAAAAAAAAAGAAAAAAAGAAAAAAGACTCAAGTGATAGTTGAAGATTTCCGTCGAATTCTTTTTCTGTATCTCGTCTGGCGTACTTTGTAGATAAAGACGGGGATTTTAAAAAAAGGAGGAGGAGCCGGGAGGGGCGCGCATGTGAGAGCGCATGTGAGAGCGACTGTGTGCGCGAATGGCTGCATCTGGTTGTTTTCTTAAAGGGACGTGGAGAAGGCTCCCACCCCCCCCCCCACTGAGACCCGGTGGGGTGAGGGGAATGGGGGAAATGGGGGGGTGGGAATGGGGGGGGGTGTGATGATGATATTCAGTGAAAAAGGTGTTTGTTTGGAAAAGACAAAAAAACGCTGTTGCTGTTATTCGATTATTTTTTCCCTTTTTTTTTTTTTTGGTTTTGTTTTTTGGGTTCGATTCTGCTTATTTTAATTTATTTTTGTACTGTGATGGAAAAATAAAATGCACCAACCGTTCTGGGGGTGTGGCTCGTCTTTTTGTGGATCCAGATGTGCGGAGGGTTCCAGATGTGGAACCGCTCTGACTGGCAGAACTCTCTTTGTTTGATAATGTTACTGAGGGAACACATATCTTAAACACAGGTAGTTTTCCGAAAAGGTGCAAAAGGCCAAATCGGAGACAACCGATGTCCATTTTTTGGGAAATTTAGAAGCAAAAAGACTCAAAGAAATGCAGGAAAGTTGCAAAAAAGAAGAAAGGCAGTAAAGGCCTGGTAAAGGGTCGATAACACAGTCACAGACAGGTGTTACTTTTTAAATAAATAAAGCCTTATCCTAGATTTCAGATGGTTTTGAGACAGTCGTCTGAATCCAGAAGTCAAAGGGAAGTTTAGTAGGACCCAAAGAACGCACACCAGCCAATGGAAGCAAATTAATTTATTAATAAACCCATTAATGAAACATCTTCATCAAACAACACAAGACGGTATTACAGCATTTCCCTTTGGACGTATTCTGGATATTACAGTATATCTGTGCATGTAATAATGACAAACTACACAAAAATGCAAAATATAAACTCGTCCTAAAATAAGGCACATGGTGAATAGACTGCATACATAAATTACACGTGGACTTTGTTACCCTTTGGCTAACTCGGACAGGCTTCATAACAGTGTTGTCTCAGACGTCAACAAAACACCAAAACCAGAGGAAAGCTGCTCTTATCGGCTCTATTTGGTCGGGGTTTAAAGTAAAGGACACAATGGCACAAGGGATAACATTTCTGGAAGGAAAACACAGAAAAAAGCGCGACTTTTTTTGCCTTTAACAGTCAACGTAAAGGAGAAAGTCAACCTCAGTGATTAGTGTTAAACTCATGGTTCAGTAGGGAATATTCCAGATTTTTATTTGATATTTATATTTTAATATTCTATAGTTATTCCACATTTTTCCCACAAAAAACAAGCGTCCATGTCTCCGTCTAAAGGACTCACACCGACCTGCTGTACCAGGCGTGTATTAATACGCCACTGAAAGTAGTCCCCATCACACTTCGCACTTCGAAAAAGGTGGAAAGACGCTCTGTACATTTACAGTTTAGCCCGACTGGTTTGTTGAGCAGAGTGTGTCCCACTGTGCTAAAACAGTAAACCCGTTAACCCGAATTATCGGGGTGTCCAAATCTGAATGAAAAACAACAAAAAAACAAGTCTGTTTATGGTCTGACGGCCACAAATGTTTGATTTCTCGCTCACATTGGCATCCATCTGTACTGCTTCTGCGTTTTAACTTGGTTTATAGGAGCTCTGAAATCCACAGAACGACACACAAGTCTTTCAACAGCTCTGCTTGTATTGATCTAAAGACGTTAAGATTTGGTCCAGGAGAAAAAAAAACAGTGCCAGACAGACTTTGGTCCACTTCTAATTATCCTAAAAAAACGGAGAGCATCCTTCTAAACAGACGCCGTCTAAGGGTTTGTTTTTGTTTATTTGGTTACACGCTTTGTTGGCAGGCTTATCCTCCCCCCCTCCCCGTTTGGAATCAGACCTCATGGCTGCAAAAGTCAGCTGAGAGACAGAAAACCTCCATGGCGAGAAGCCAGGCGATCTGACGGAGGAAGCAAAGCGGAAAGGGAGGCGGGGATGGGGGGAGGGAGGCAGACAGGAGAAGGAGAGGAGGCCCAGATAGTCTTTGTTCAGCCAACCCCCCCCCCAGTGCTACCGTAAGAAAGCAAAAAGAAAAGAGCCCACGTGAGAAGTGAAACCGACTCCATGCTAACGATGATTAGCCTGATCCAGCAATGTGACTTCCTTAAGCCTCACTGGATTTCCCCAAACGCCTCTTTTCTTATCGAGCTCCAGGACAAGGACCAAGGGCGAGGTAGAGGGGAGATTGGCCTCTTCAGAAACAGCAGCCCTCCAAAACTAATTAAGATAAACGGCGCTCACACAGTCGGGAGGACTTAACAAGCTTTTCTTTCTGCTGCGGTGAAGCCAGTCGGAGACAGTTTGGGGGAGGTGATCGTAACCTTCTGCCATAGTTTTGCTCCATTTCTCTGTTAGATAACGACTCGTGGACGACACATCTGGGCAGAGAAGTTTGAAGAATTGTTTCCGAACGGAGAAGTTGAGAAAACCTGCTCACGGGTCCATTTTGGAGCCATTTTGGAGCCTTCTGATCAATTACATCGAATGTTCTTTACTAGTGACAGTTTACTTGTTTGTTATGTAGATAGCTACACTAAAAAATTCTCATTTTTGTAAGCGTTAATACAAGAAAAATGAAAATCCTGAAGTTTTTTTGCCAAAGGACCAGAAAGAAAAATACACAGTTTTTCCCACTCAAGTTACAGAAGCAAAAATGGGGTTTTAATACGAACACAGATAACTTAATTGTACTAAAAGGATTTCACAAATGCAGAAGTTTCTGTGTTTAATCTAATTGGGGGAAGAAGAATATTCTGATAAATTGTTCCATACCTAAAAGTAAGCGTACTTTTCTGTATGTTTTATGCGTTGTCAAACCACAGGTAGCAAACCTTTGGAAGTACTTAGCGGATGTGCTAACACATAGCGTATGCCACTTGCCCGTTATCTTAATTTCTATCATACAATTTCGTAAATAAAATGTTTCTAAAACAAAATACTGACTAAAATCATATATATATCACATAATAAAACCAAAAGGAAATGAGTGGAGGGTCCAAGGTAAACAGAAACTAGTAATAAATGCATTTCCAGTGGGCTAGGCTAGTTAGCGGTTAGCTTCTCAGCTCAGAGTTGTCTAGAAATTAATATTTTTGTAAGGCAAATATCTTTTTGATGTAAAAGCTTCAGAAAACCTTCCAAATGGACTTTGTGTGAGCAGGTTTTCTCAACAGCCAAGGCCAAGAAGAAATGTTGAACCTTTTTTTTATTTGAAAGTATTCAAGCTAGCTGAATCATAGCAAGAATTAGCATAAAAAAACTGTGCTGTCTGTTCAGTCTGTGGATGAATTTAAATACCAGGAGAGATACCTGCTTTGAATATGACACAAGGACACACAACTATTTGGCCTCTTTGGTCGGTAATAATGGAGGAAAAATCCTCAGACTTGAAAACGTCACACTGGCCTCGCTAGTCAAGCTTTTGGTCCGTCTCTGAGCCAAGAGGAGGAGAGATAAAAGGCTAAATCTGTAAATGTACAGCACAAACACTCCTTCAGTCACACTCTGCTGCTGTAATGAAGGGGATATTTGTCAAGCGGAAGCCTTAATCTACGGGCTAAAGACTTCTACAAGTCAGGAGAGATTCACTGAAAACAAAGCCGGTAAATAAGACCAGAGGCTGCATTTCACATGGGATTATGTAGCATAGATCCAAGTCTGACATAACAGAAAGACATCTAATGGAGAAAGAAGTGCTTTTTTTGCCTCTTAAATAGGTTTAAATTATAGCATGGAATATAAGTCATCTTATGTTGGTCTCAGTATCTTCTCATTTTCCATCTATAAGCAGAACAAGAAGAGGAGAAAACTCATATTGCATAGAAAACATGAGGAGTAAGGTTGAAATAATACGGTTTGAGTGTGTTTTATGTTGCAGCTGCTGTTGTGCAGGATGTGCTCAACACATCCCCCCGAACGCCCCCAGAATAAAACCAAAAGATGGGAAATGTGAGCCCCAGACTGGCTGTGTTACCCCAAACATCTGTAAACATTTCATTAACTTAAGGTGGACACCACCGGCCCCTCAATTCTACCCTTTATTCTCTTATAAGTCTTTGGATCACATCGATCATTTTTAGAATTCTTTAGCATTTAAATGAAAAAAAAAGAAAGTGAAGCACAAAGCAAAAAGACGCTTTCAACTTTTCCAGATTTCCTATTTGATCAGGGATCAAACATTGCTTTGGATTTTTCTCTTTATAAGCAACATGTGTGCTTCTTAGAAAGCTTTACAGTATTTTGTGATCCCACTTTGACTCAGAACAATCAACCTGTGGTAGAGTCATTATTGCACAGAGCAAATCAAATGAAATTTAGTTCAAAAATGAAGAAAAGAAAAGAAAAAAAGCACCACTTTGGTACATTTAGTGCATGGCTTTTAAAGGTCTCATCTCCTAATGTTTTGCACGTAGAAGCACCGCTCTACACCTTTTTTTTTAATTCCATTATTTGGCAAAGCTTTAGAAAACGAGGATTCAATTATCCCCAGTTGAACTTCAGAGCTACTTGCTCACGTTCTAAGCAGCTCTGGGAAGCTAAATAAAAATAAAAATTAACATGATCATCATAATCGTTATTGGCCCAGGCCGGTTTGAATCGGCTGTTTTACTCTTTTTTTTGTTTTCATCCATGAGAGTTTTGGCCCACTTCAGTTCCCGGGGACGGCCAGGATGTAGCCGGACCGGCTCTTGGTGAAGTCCGGCTGGATTTGGTTGATCTTTTGCTCCACGATGACCGTGCACTTCCCCCCGTTCATGCTGCACTGGATGGGGCTCGCCACGTTCACCTGCAGCTTCCTCTTCTCACTGCAGACAGACAACCACAGAAAGAAGAAAAAAGAAAAAAAAGGAAAAAAAAGATGTATTGTTAATCAAAGCTGGTTGGAATTTGATCTGCTGAATAAAAAATTGAATTACAGCAATAGGAGACGGAAAAAACTAAACAAATGACAATGGAAAATATCCTGAAAAGCTGAAAACCCAAAACAATAAATAATAAAAAAAATACTGCAGTCAATGACAGAATAATAAAAAGACATTATCTACTCTGGTTGAGGGCAGCATGTATGACCAGTTATGGCTCATAAATAAATCAATATCCTTAATCTGCTCAAGAAGCTGTTCAAGGATCAGCTCTGCAAGGTGGATGGTTTCTTTCCATTTCTTATTTAAATTTATGCTAATTTCTTATTTCCACATTTCTGCAATGTTTCCACCAGAATTCAGCATTTTTTGGCGAAAAAAAAGGTAAAAAAATCTACAACAAATTAATCATTTTGACAAAATAACCTGAATTTCCTGCTGTTTAACAGAATCGTTTGGATTCTCTCCTTCGATTTAGTTTTCCTCTGTAGAATCAAAGCTCTGAAAGAACGCGTGATTTTTCCATTTTCGCGTCACAGTTTAACGCCCACCAATAAAATCTGCACATTAATTATGGACCCGAGCACAAAACAAGATGCTGTCTGGGCCATAAATCATTCTCTGGTGTTCGCAGGCAGCATCATAATCTCCACAACACCCCGCGATCATCACACACACACACATGCACACACACACGCACACACACACACACACACGCAACTGTTCGGAGCCATAAATCTTCCTCAAACAAACAATCTGTGATTTTATACGTGCTAAATCCCTCCCACTCAATCACATAACGGCTGTATAATACCGGGAGATCAAACGGAACTGTGCATCACATTAAACAGAAAGCACATGTCTGAGCGAGTGAGCGAAGCCTTAAAAGGACACTTTTATTAAAATCACAATTTATGTGCAAAATGCAACTCAAAGAACTCAATAAAAGCATAAAATTAGAATCAATTGAACAAGTTGTCGACCGAGTTGAAACACGCTGACAAACTGCATCAATGTGTATGAAAGTTTTGTACAAATAACAACTTATACCAATCTGATCAGCTAAATATTAGAAAATAATCAGAAAAAGTCTCGATAAATTGGGTTCTTCCTAGAAGTTTGAAAATTGCCGATCAAACCTGCAGAAACCCTGATGGAATGCTAAAAACATGAGCTAAATGCATTCAGCCCACTTTAACTTCTGAATGATGCAGCCCTGGAAGACTGTGAGGGTCCAAATCCAGATCTAATCCCCCGGCATTAAACCTGAGGCCAGGCACGCGCCTCACACACATCCAGGGCCCCACCGGTGGTCCAGAAATCCCTCCAAAGGCTTCTTAAATTGGTCAGTCGGAGCCTAAACTGGCTTAAATCCACAAAACCCAAAGGTAGTCAAACTGGATGCTACATTAGGCTAATGAGTTTCTTCAAATGGCTCCAATAAGCGGTTCCAGGTACCCGAACATCAACATGTCCAGCAGCCAAGGGACCGTTTAAGAGGAACCGAGCATCTAAAATAATGATTAGTTAAACTACAAACCTGAAAACATCTTTAACAAAGAAACTAAAGGATGAATATCTACAAAAATACTAGAACTGATTGCAGCAACTGGTTAAAATGAAAGAGAAACCATCATCCATCAGGACCCCCAGGACCCAACCACAGGCTTAAGACGTGTAATAATGTAATAATGCACATGTGAAACGCACTTTGAAAGTACAACAGTCTCTATAAAGACACATTTAGCAGCAGCTTTAAGCTTGATGGATTCGTATCTGACTTGCTAACAGTTATTGATCACAAATGGGAGTTTGGTTTCCTGTGACTGAGTCAGCATCCGGGTTCAGAATACCACCAGAATCCTGACGAGGAGAGGACTTGTACGCGTGTTTAAACCTAAAAATGGCCGTTTATAGAGTTCTTCATTAGAT